GTATGAGTCTTCAACCGAACTGCGTATGAGTACAATGCATATTTATACGTGTGAAGCATGTGACCTTGTTTTGCCTTGTACCATACATTGAATACAATCACAATACCTGATGGGTGTAATTGTCCGAGCGTCTAACACTACACCTCTTTCTGTGATGTAGGTGTGGTGTCCGACACCCATAATTAGTAATTGAAATTAAGTGATGTATCCCATTGCGCCTTTGGACATTTACTTATGTTCCAGATTTCTAAATATAAAAAATTAATCAATAAGCTAGGTATAAGTGGCATTTTGGCTTCAGGCGAGTTGCGGACATCCCATCCTTATGCTATCAATCTCCCCTGATGCAGCTCTCCTATTCATAAAAGAAGAGCCGAAAAAAATGTTTTTTTGATCTGAACCACCGCCACTTATTTACTGCTTTTTTTTTCTAAACATCTTACTTAAAACAAATATATTATATGAATATTGGTAATAAAATTCAAATTATTTGTTCCAAATTTGTTTTATCAGCCTAAATAAAATAATGATATATTGATCCTCTGTAAGCCGGTTCTTCTTGTTAATCGATTTACTTCAAATTTGGAGAGGATCTTCTCTGTACATCGCTTTATCGCGTGGACCTTGCCCAAAACTATAACTTTACATTTAGTATTTTTTTAAAATTCGGAATTGTTAAAAAAAACATGAAAAAAAATTTTTTTTTTCAAAATGCCGCCATTGAAACAAATTTTTTTTTGAACTTATCCAAGGGTCATACGATAGCGGCAACTATAATAATTAAGAATCCATATATATTTTATGTTTCAGATCACCAGGAGGGTTGGAATCATGCACGCCAGGACACCCTCTTTTTTTGAGCCCCCACTTTGACAGCTCATAACTTTGTGAATTTTAATTTTTTTTTTAATAATTTTTTTATGGTTTAATAAAATATCAATAAACAAATGATAAAAAAATCGATAGTAAAAATATTATTTGTTTCCTTTATACAGCGCTTCAAAAACCGAGCGAAATTTATACCTCCCCCTTAAGCATCAATGTATTAGCAAGAAGCAAATCTACAACATTTTCTTACAAGCGTAAATAACATTTATTACTTTTAATCTCACAATTTTTTCTAACCTTTTACACTTTTACACAAAACGGTGCAGCTATTTTTGAGAAAACGTCGACAAAAAATCAAATGTCACACACACATATATACTTTTTCCAAATTAGTTTTCATACATAATTTTGACAAATCAGATTTTCTAGCAAAAACTAACTTCTTCGGGATGTTAATAAATATTCTTGATTATTAATTATCGATTCACAATTTGAACATTTTGAAATGATGTCAAAAACATTTATTAACTGATTTCTATTCGGGAAATCAAATGCAGGAAACCAAAAGGTCACGAATTATTGGCAAGATTTTTGAAAAAAAAAACTTTAAAGTTTAATGAATGGTATTGGAAAATTTCCCCCCAAAATTAATGAAAATTTATTTGGTTTTATTCAACTTAAATTCTATGATGTTAAATTTAACAAATTTATTATTATTTGTATATGATCCTTATTTGGATATGATGAATTGTATAATAATTTTATTATTCTATTTAAATTTTTTGCAAAAAAATTAAAAAAAATACAAAATGATTCCGGCCGGGATCGAACCGGCGGCCTTCTGCGTGTAAAGCAGATGTGATAACCGCTACACCACGGAACCTGTACCCAAGTTAACGCTACGTTCGCTTACAAGGAGAAATTTTAGAGAAATATATATGTATACATATAATAAATATAAATATAAAAATAAATAATATATTTTATAAATATTGTAAATATATTTTATGCACTTTTTCGAAAAAATATAATAAAAAATTATTTTAATAAATAATGAGAAACAATCTAGCTTTTTTGTAAAATCAAATTCCTACGAAATTAACCGTAATTAATATTAGGTATTATATACTAATTATTATAGTACTAATATTAAAATTGATTATAGTAGAAGTTATGAATACTGCTACGCGCTGCTTTTACTACATACAATTTGTTCCAATGTTTTAATCTTATTTTATTATTTTAAAAAAATACTTTTCCTTGCAAAAATAAACTAAACACAAAAATTCGTAAATTGGAATATTGAAGAATCTCATCGATTGCAAAGTTAAGAGTCACAATCAGATGAGTTTAATACAAGAGTTTTTTTTTTAATTAAATATTATTCAATGAAATTTATGATAGCTTTACAAAAATCGAATTGTAATAAAATAAGATGCGTCTCTTATTTTATTATTTATATGATTTTGAAGAAAAAAATGAAAAAAGTCAACGATACGTGGTGTTCCCAAGCGGTCTCCCATCTAAGTACTACCCACGCCCGATGTTGCTTAACTTCGGTGATCGGACGAGAACCGGTGTATTCAACATGGTATGATCGTTGACGAAGAAACAACTTTGAACTTCACTTATATATCACTTATTCTAAAGTTGTTCATTATAATAATTTTATCTATATTACATCAATCGATAATTTCAATATAATATACCCAAATCACTTGATCATATTAATAATCTCACTTAATTATGAGAGTTAGAACCAGGTTTTTTCTATTAGCAATAGTTGCAAAACGACTATTATAGACCTAGGTTTTCCACAATTTCTAGGAATCAGTTTTTTAGCCATCATAATATACACAATTCTAGATGGTACACGCGAATTTGCAAATTATACTTTTACCAGATTACTATGGCGTCAATATCGAACACTGCGCACAGTTTTATGTCGAGAAAATCGGGCCATAACGAGTATATTCGCGAGAAATATCTTGAAATAATTCGATGCGTAATGCAATAATAAAATAATATAGATATAAGTGTTTTAAATATAAAAAAAAGTCAACGATACGTGGTGTTCCCAAGCGGTCTCCCATCTAAGTACTACCCACGCCCGATGTTGCTTAACTTCGGTGATCGGACGAGAACCGGTGTATTCAACATGGTATGATCGTTGACGAAGAAATATCTTTGAACTTCATTTATATATCACATATTCTAAAATTGTTTATTATAAAATTTTTAATATTTTTATCTTCGAATATAATTTCATTATAATTAATTAATTTACATTTCATTAATTCACCGTATGTCTTGATAATATTAATTAAATCACCCAATTATAAAAACTATTTGCACACCAGATTTTTTATCATCAGCCCATTCGTTGCAAAACGACCCTTATAGACGTACTTAATACAATGACTCCCTTTCCCTAGGAAACTATAATTTAAAATTGATTATTTCTGCAAAATTAATATTGCAGTCGTTAACATGCACAGTATTATTTTGTACATGTTCAATATTGTAATATGTGTATATAAATTTAAAATAGAGCATTATAAAACGTTCATATTTTTAAAATATGAAATAGAATTGAAATACACTACATATGAAAGGATCATTAAAATTTTGTTCACTTTAAATTTTATTTGTAAAATAAATAGGTGTTCTATAATAATTATTATTGTTAGATGGAATTTAAAAATAACGAGCATTTCAATGAAATTGCATGATTTTTATGTGCAGTTTTTACTGCAATTGTGCAAATTTTATGGTCGTTATGTTTATACTATTATTAATGCTTATCTGTTATTCAACAATTAATTATTTAACTGAATGCGTTGTACTTGTGCGTTAACGTTACAGAATTGTTAACAATTAATAATATATACATAATTAATAATATATATATATATATATATATATATATAAACATAGCAATTACAATGTTTTACAAATTATTGTTTTGTTTTTTTTTTAAATAAATTATAATATTAATATATTGAAGAATACTATAAAAAGAGAAGTTAAGTTTTATTGATATTGGTAAAATTAAACAGAACCGTTTCTAAATTAGCTGACTTTCGATAGAAAATCGTTTGCTTTTTACGAAATTCGTTGAAGTGATTTTGCAAAATTGCGCCATGTGATTACAATAGAAAACTGTATTAGGCTTTGAAATAGATTGAATAAATCATTTGAAATTTCACAGAAAAAGGGTTATACTGATGCCTATGTAGACATTATGTGAAGAAATAAAAAATCATCTAATGATCTACAGATGGATGATAAAATTTGTAAAATTGACGTCATCAGTGAAGGTAGAGTCACCTTCATAGAGTTTTGGTGATGATTAAGCATTTTATATGCCATTAAAATCAATAAAACAGGTAGAAAAGTTTGCTGTCAATGACATCGCAAAATCGCGATTATGTCAGGCATATTGATTGAACTCTTACCCCTTTGCAGATATGAATATGCATGGGCTAATTTTTTTTGTGAATTATGAATATGCATTTTTTTTCAATAAGAAGGGCGATGAAAATGCCGTTATATCAGTTCAATAAATTTAGACAATCAAAATAAATTCATACATATGATCATAAATATATGCTATGTCATTTAGATACAATGTTTAATCATTGGCAAACTTCCCATTTTTTATATATAACCACTTCAAGTAGAAAGTTATACATATTATGTTGCAAAAATATTTTTCAACTTCTCATGGGGTTAGTATTAAGATATTTTGATCATTTTCGCTTACCTTTGTATGGATCTGCATTATTTTGGCTAGAAGCCAATTTGGATGATCAAATTTGCATTTGTGTTTTTAATGATAATTTAGATTCGTATTTTTAATATGAATTGCCTATTGATTTTTGATGATGGCATCCAGTTCTGAAGTAACAAAAAAAATTAAATCATAACAACAGCACACCAAATTATCAGAGTTTTTAAGGAGAATTTTATGAAATAAAATTAAGATTTTGTTGACTTATAATATGAAACTGATTTTGACTGAAATGACTATTCACACAATCTAGATTGAATGGTTAAGACATTCTTCATTTCATAACAATTTCTCTTTTTTTTAATTTTCTTTGAATCTCTGAAATAAATATGTAGTACATATTGCAAAACTGCTCCAGAGATGAAAATCAAAACTCTGTTAACGATTCATACATTTTATATAAAATACAAATTCCACATAAAATTCAATCCATAATTATTAAAATCAAACATAACAGTTACGCAATTCTTGAGATCCATTTTGTTAATTGATCTAACTGTGCAGATTTCTCCTCCGTGCTCACTGCACTACATTCAGCAAAATCTATATTTTGTATTAATTGTGAAAATTCAAAATCCTTTCCTTGTTTTCCCAAAAATACATTTTCAGAACTTGTTGGATCAACAGATTCTAATTGCCGCGTTTTAGTTACTCTAACTAGATTCCTATAAGCAAACACAATGAGTAAATACATATATATTAGGAGAAATATTTTCATAACCATACATTTCTTTTTCAAGTAAAGCCTTGATAATACTAGATCCTTTAGCCATATGCAAATCTTGTTTATTGCAAAGTATCAATACTTGTGGAGCATTAGAAGTAACTGATTTATCAGAAAGTATCGTGTACAAGTACCTACAAAGAAATTTTTTAGTAAAGTGATAGGTGATATATTACATCAATCACTTATACTTACTCAGCTACATCACGAATGTCTTTATGCAAAGTGGTGGAATCAACAACAAACACAATACCTCGTGCTGAATCTTTGTAATCATCAAAAAATCTTCCACGTAATCTTTCATGTCCAGGAATATCCACAACTCTTACTGACGCCTGGAAAAATGAACAAAACAGAGGTTGATTTTTCAGATAAGGATCCATACTAGTAAATTATTTATCATTTTTAATAATATAGGAGAAATATAAATCATTATTTTATATATTATTTCTAATGCAGACTCGCACAATGGACGCTTTGAATAACAAACTTTTTTTGACGGGTGCGAACTTTTCACAGAACGAACTTTGCTTCACACAATGAACTTAATCATTGTCATTTGTAGTCAAAAATATGTTGCTCGTATTAAATTGATAATGATAATATACTTGTTGGAGAAAAATCTCACACTTAATTCATCTCGCTATTGAGCAATTCATATTTCATAGAAAAAACCAGTCAGTAGATTTCTAGCGCGTAAACTCCATAAAGGACTTTTGGGTCAAATGAAAAGAAGAGTAAGAATTCATAAATGTTGGCTTTTCAAACATGAAGCTAAGAAAATCAGAATTTTGTACAATGATAACCAATTGCACATCAAATGAATAATCAGATTTTTTATGGAGATTTTATAAAATTATGTGATTAAATAAAATATTGTACAAGCTCGCCTATCATTTGCGATCTTGAAGAAGAAGGTGAAATAGATGTCTAGCAACAGTTCCTTTAAAAATTCAGGAGTTAAAGGGCCAAAAAATACAATGATACTAACTTATTTTGTAAATTAGTAATATTTCTTTGATTGTCTTAATTATATGTAAAGTGTATCTTATTTTCTATGGCCATATTTCAAACTATAGAAGAAATTAAATATATTTTCATGTATTTGTATAGAAAAACGAGTTTTGCATAAGAAATTTTCTACCGGAACAAATTAAGTATGTTGTGTGAGATACCGCTGTACTTAATTTGTATGTTTGTTAAATACAGTTCACTTATGTTGTTTGTTATATATCAGATTATATTGGATAATTATTGTCCATAATTACTTCTTGGACTCTCATTTAGTTTTTATAAACAGCAGATAAATCAAGAAACACATATTGAAAATTATGACATTATAGTGTTCATAAGGTTTAAGTTGCACTTTAGCTAAATTAGTCATCAATCCGTTAGTGAATTGTAATAAGATAATAAGTTCAATTATGATATGTTAAAAACCATGCATTAAAACTATCCCATACATTCTTTGTGATGTATTCATCGACATTAACAGCAATTGAAGTATGAGTATCTTTTGACTGTGAATGGACCAGCTGTGAATACAACAAAGTTTTCCCAGCATCGCTAAGTCCAGTTATCAATATATCCCTTCGAGCACCTTTTCTTCTTTGCCACAGAAGGAATAAAACTATAAAATTGTTTCAGTTAATACTCATCAAGCTGTACATAGAGAAAAATAAAGGTTACTCACTTAATGTGACGAAAACTACAGTTATTCCAACAAGAAGAGGAAGGTAATTGAAATCAGATTGGGTTTGAAATGGATTTTCTGACTTTTCATTCATTTTTATCAAAATAATAGTGCTTAAGACGTTGCAAATTAACTTAACCTTAAATAATTTTCTGATGTTGGTATCTCTGAGCAAAATTACAAGTTGGATTGACGGAACGCCAAGTGTCAAACTTATGTTAAACTGTCACTGTTTGCAACAATGATAAATATAACCTTGTAGAAAATGTAAAAAATAATATTTTATAGCTTAAAATATTCATAATTATTAATTTATAGATAAATAGTATAATAATGACTCAACAAACCGAAAATATAACGCTCAAAAGTTTTTTTATATACAATTCGACATTTGGCCCTAATGAAGGAGAGGTCAGAATTTTAAATGAATGTGATACTGTTCATTAATATTTAATACATTACTAACAGTTTTAATATACCTTAGGAAGAGAAGAAAATTTTGTATTATTATCCAAATAACGTTAATTTAGAAACTCAGATCAAAGATGTTGGACTCAGTGAAGCAATTGTTAAATTTACAAAGTAGGACAACAAATTGTTTTTTTGTCTATTATATGTTAATGCCATATAATCATAATCTTCTGCTCATTTTTTTTTTAGCACATTTACCCCAGATGAGAGTTGTGAATCCTTGCACACACAAAAAACGAGGCAAATATTTTTTCAACCAGAAAAAGATTTCTGGATGATCATGGTAATAAATTTACAATAAATGCAAGAAGAATATTGTATAGATTTATGTTTGTCTTTGCAGACTGTGAATGTGCCACATGTGTTTATTACGAAAGAAAGCGTAACATATTGTGAATATCATGGAGATGAAGTACAAGATTCTGTTTTACAAGCTGTCTTGAAACAATCGTATGAAACATATAAATTGTTTAGAGGTTCATTTCTCAGGAGCCTGTGTAAAGGTGTACATTCTCAAGACACCAGCATTCTTAAATTAGAACTAAATAAGTTCTTTTCTAAAGTAATTTACAACTGGAATCAGAGTTAAATTTGTGTGGTAAATATTATAACTTGTAATTTTATTTTTAAATTACAGTATCTTCTTACATTAAAACTTCCTTATTGTGATGTACTGGATATAATGCAAGGAATGCAGTTAATGCCTTTAGATGCATTGAGTTTTCTGAAAGTTCAAACATTTGTCAATTTATTGGAGGCAACATTCCCGATAATTCAAAAAACAAGTTTTCTATATAATGAGCTGCTCGTATGGTAAGCATTAATGTAAAATCTATCTTGAGTTTTTTCTTCGCAGTAAATATTGATAATTTTTCAGGAGCGGTATAGAATCATGTGATATGCAGATAATATACACTTACCTATTAAATTCACATATTTTACCAGCACAATTGGAACACGAATTACAGAAATGTTTTATTACACAATCAAATGATGCAAGAAACTCTAGTTCACATTTGGGACAATTTGTTAATGTTTCTTTGATTAATGGTGGTTTGGAATCAAACGAGTGTGGAGAAAGATTTACAATAATTAACTTGATCGATGGAGATGAATATAAACTGCTAGTTTACAAACTTAACTGTTGTACAGTCTGTCTATTCATTGATGGTAGGTATTGCTTAAATCACTTTCTCCTAAATTGATATATAAATATTAATCATTCTTTCAAAAATTTCACAATAATTATGGTTTTTATAAATACTTTGAAATTTGATAATAATTTTTATAATGCATCTTCAATATGACGTATATTACAGCAGTAAATTATTAGATTTTGAAATGTATTTTAGCATGCCAATCCATTAATCAGAGTTCATTGGATGAATTAAAATCGTTCATGGGAGTGAGATTGATGGCAATAACTTCAGATATTGCTAATAAATGCTTAGAAACAGAATCTCGAAATCAGCAAACAAATTCGAATTCAATAGAAAATGAACCTAAGTATTTGTTTTATAATGATATTGAAAAAGCCTATAAATCTACATTACATAAAGATTGTCGAAAAATGGGAAACTTATCAGTATCTCAAGAAGCCATGAAACTTATAGCAGATATGCATGGAGAAATGTATATATAATATATACGATTCAGAGATTATAGCAAGTTATGATAATTATTTAATTTTTTCAGTGATTACATAAGCAAAGAAACGATTTTAAAAACTTCAAATGATCATTGGGTAATTGGGAATTTTTCTAATCATCGCCACTTTTATGTTGTTTTGCACCAAAAAAATACAAATTTAATAGAAATAAGCAGTAAGTATGCACTTATCGCCTATTATATCTTGAGAAATTGAGAAAAATAGTAAAGCATACCTATTATAATATCTCAGGTAATAGCTTTTGATGTGAAATGTGTACAAATTAAATTACAGTTAAATTTTTAACTGTAATTTAATAATGTAGAAGCTCTCAGTTTAATTTCACACTATTTACTTTAAATAATTTTAACATTCAGTTTAATTTTTCCTTGAGAAAAAGTGGGCGGTAAATATATAATTGAATCAACATCTTTACTTTAACTATCTTATTTAATTATTATGCTTTCTTTTTTTTTGCAGGTGAATTCAGACGTATATGTGATAAAGAGCTGAAATATATATACTTCCAGAAGCTTTAATTAAAAAATAAATATAGATAATTTCTTACAATAAATTTCTTTATAGTATTATGTACAAAAAAGTATTTAATATAAAATATGTAATTATGCATTGACTTTAGCTGATGTATCTCCTGCTGTGCTATGCTGTTGTTTCAGAGCTTTCTTAACTACATGAATTTTTTTGTTTGATAAACAAATAATGAAACAATGATCACTGTATGTCAAAGAAATCCTTTTAAACCCATCTTCTTCAGGAAATGCTTCGGGATTTATACTGCAATATATCTCTTTTGTATAAAAATTTGAATTGAGTATTTTATTCATGTGTTAAAAAACGTAATCTTACTTTTTAGTGATAGATATAAAATTATTAAAAATATTTGCTACTCGTTCGTCATTTTCTAAATCTCCGCCAGAAGCTATCACAGCACCGTCTTCTGACATTATTAAATATCCTATTTGATCAGGTATGCGTTCCATATTTAGACCAATATGTGAATTAATATTTTTATAACATGAACCGTATGTTCTATGAAATTAAATAAATTTGACAATTGACAGCTGGTTCGCTGGTTCCGTGCGAAGTAAATCACTTGTGACATAAAGTTAAAATACCAACATTAAGGATACAAATATTTAAGTCTATCTACGGCTGGCCGACTGACTACGAAAATCGTAGCCGAAAGTAGTTACGAGAACTACGGAGCTATCCATAGATAAATAAGCATCCTTAGCTATCCTTAGTACCCTAGAATACCCTGTGTTCATCAGCCCAGTACACGATATGCTTATATTACACTTATCAGTGGTGTTGTGCTAATAATTTTTTTGCCGGAACGCTAAAATTTAAAAACCGGTTCTCATGTTTGTTCCGGTTCCGTTCGAAGAGGAAAGAAACAAAAATTATTACAAAACCTATTTTGTGCACATTTATGTATGTTTATTACAATAATAGGAACATTTAATAAAGATTAGTTGAATTGTAATTTATAAAATTTACTTATTAAATCATTTTCTGTATGTAACGATTTATTTTAATCTTTTTTTGCCGGAACGCGTTCCGGCTCGACAACACCACTGGCACTTATTAATACAAACATTTAATCTTACTTTTTGCTATTAGAAAATACATAAATATACGTTGCAGTTACACACTCATTCATATTTTTTTAATGCTTATTATAATATAAAACTAGTACTAGTACCACGTGGTGTATGGCATCTTGCCTTAAGGCAAATTGCTGGAACTTCCCGTACTAAAAATTAAATTTTTTAAAAAAGATTAAATATGTTTTAAACTTTGAAAAAAATAATTTTTGAGAAATTTTTAATTTTTGAAAAAAATGTTTTTTTTTTAGTTCGAAATATTTTGGAAATTTTGAACTTTTTTTCAAAGCAATCGCACTGCTTTAGCTGCATAGAGACGCATTATCGAAGTAGAAATGTAAACAAAATTGATACACTTTATTAAAATCTCCATAAAATATCTGATAATTTGATGTGCATATGTCTAATGATCATTTTTGACCTCATAATGGCATTTTTTTTACTCTTGTTACTAGATCTCCGAAACCGCTAGGCCGCTTCCTAAAAATTTAATTAGTTCTTCATCTTATCAATACAAGTAAAATGTTTTTTGAATTATTAAAATCGGACGCTCCTTTCTCTTAAAAACGTGTTACTGTTTTTGGCACTTTTTGCCCCGTATCTTCGGAACAGCTAGACCTGCCTGTGCAAAAAACTAATCAGCACGTCTTGGAATCAGTCACGTGTTCCCGAAATCGTCGACGAAATTTTGTATTCGCACACACACACACACAACACATACACCCGATTGACCGATGGCAGCAACTGTGGGATGTCCCAGTGAAGGGCAGATGGATGCATCGTGTCATTCCTAACATCAAACTCTGGCTAAGTCGCAAGCATGGAGAAGTAAATTATTATACTACGCAAATGCTATCTGGGCACGGCTGTTTTCGAGCCTACCTACATCGCTTCAAGCACGATAGCTCGCCGGATTGCCGAAATCGAAATCGAAGACGCTGAGCATGTGTTCTTCGTGTGCCCGCGATTTGGTGCTGTATGGGACGATGTGGAAGAGACATTGAGACATTGAGAAGTGATGATGACAAGTGAAGCTGCTTGGAACGCGATAGACAGATTTGCGAGAGAGGTACTAATTGACCTGCGCTCTATGGAAAGAGAAAGGACGAATGGGACTTCGCCCATTTAAAAGATGAGTATAAAATCAAGTGAAGAATTATAACATTCTAGATCCTCCCCCACGAGGTAATGCCTAACGGCGGTTTCCGTGTGGACCAGAGGCAAAGGCAAAGCGGAGGTTTTAGTTGGTATTATACCAGAGCGGTATTGAGTCCGACATACCCAGACAGAACACCAGTCTAGGATGCATAAAGGCATTTGCTTCACTATACAAAAAAAAAAACACACATACACCCACACACACATACATCAATTTTTTCTAAGGTATGCCAAAATGTTCAGAAACCTTTGAAACGTAAAGATATATATAAAATTTTCATTTTCGATTTTTTTGCGATTACTATAACATGCCCTATGGGAAGTTAATTATTATTTCCAATGTATATCTGAAGCCGAAATTTGATTAAAAATGAATTTAATCTTACCCTAAAACAAAAACAAAAAAATAAGTTGAAGGACAAATATCATCCATCATCCCAATACAAATCTATACAAAAATATATGTTATTTTTCCTCATATATTTAGTCAATTCAAATAGTTATGTTATAATTGAAAAGATTTATAGTTTATATACAGATGTATACTTTATATAAACATAATAAATATTTCTCTATATAATAATGTTTTCACCAAAAACTTAATGTACTGAGAATAGTTTATAATTATAATCAGACTGGATTATTAACTGACCAATAGCCCCCACAACAACAACTTTTGCTCCACCTCTGCTCCCAGGATTTCATAGCTGTTGATCTTGCACCAGGAATAATGCTACTGCTTGCATTGCACCTAGTGCATTTTTTTATAGACATAGGATTTTTACCTAAATGTAAATGTCTTATAGAATCCACACACCGATCACTATAAACATCTCCTTCTACAGTATTTACTTCAGGAGTAAATAATAAACCTTCTGGCTCTACTCCATACTCTAATTGTATTGGGAAATTCTGATAAACTAGAGCAGGTGATGCTATACAAATTTGTGGATAAGCTTGTTGCATCTGTGGTATGAGAACTTGACTTGGCAATAAGCAACAGTCATCTATTAAAGCATCATCTGGTTCCAAAGGATTTTGGCTTAATTTGGTTAATAATTTAAATATCAATGGTACTATTTCTATACTTGTTTGTGAAGAAGTAAATGTAGGAAGACAGTTTGGAATCAAGACTCCCCAGATTCTTATAATAACTATTAATTCTTGCAACATAGTTAATGCTTTCATATCTTTTGATATGTCATATCCTGTGCTTCTCATATTATTATGACTTCGAGTTTCTGGTACCCTTGCTAAAATATTCAAAGACAAATCTGCTACCCATTGTATGATACTTTGTAGGGACTGCAAAGTGCTTGGTTCCACAGTGAACATTTTAGGATCAAGGTGAATTAGAACTTTATCAACGTCTGTAGTATTATTTTCTGATATTTCATGGGCCAGTTTTTCTGCAGGGCCTTTCTCATGAGCATTTATATCAGATGGTCGTAATAAACTTTTAAAAGCCGTAGAAATAGAATGTACCATCAAAAGATTTGACAAATCTTGAGCTTTAGATTGACCCATCATAGTCAATCTATATAAACTAGTTTTTACACAAAGATGCTGGACATAATGATATTGTTGAACACATGCAGGTTGCCTATTAAAAATATCCGATAATCTGTCACAAATAGCATCTATGCTTGATGTTTTAAGGCATAGAAGTAAATCCAACCAGTCAAACCCAGTTGTTATACAATATTCTAACAATGTTGTAGCATAATACACGGACATTGTATTGCCAGGCTCATTGAGTGGCATTATTCTGTATAAATATATGTGACCCTCAGTATCTATAGCTATCATAACGTTGCCTAGCCAAGACATATCGATATGTGATAAAGTTGGCTCCAACTTTTGCATTTTGCCAGGCGGTTCATCAAGTCTCCTAAAAGCCTGATTCAATGAAATACTTGACACAGGCTTCAAACTATCTCGATATAAACAGTGAATAGTGTTATCTTTAAATCCCACCATTATATAATTAGGCGCATTTGATGTAGGATTAATTTGTAACTTGTTTGTGGTAATTGAAACAATTTGCGCTGAACTACGATATTGTGCTTGATGTTGCCACAAAACTGTTTTATAAACATCATTTAAACCTTTATTACTCTGAAATACTTTATGAATGTTTTGTGACTTCTCAAGAAGTCCCCATACTTCTATTAGACATCCTGCACTGTTAGATGATGCAACAATAAGAGAATCTGCATCTTCTCTTGATACCCAACATAGTTTAACAACTGTAAAAGTATTAGTATCTTTTATAATGCTATCCCGTAGGAAAAAACTAGGTAAGGCCTGAGATGTTATTGATACTTTCTCTTCTATTTTCTTAATAGATACCCTATAACATTGTATTGGTAATGACACAGTTCCACTTGAAACAGCTATTAGAAAATGACCATTCTTTCCATAACATATATCTACTGTTTTAATATGAGCTCTGGTAGGCCCTAGGCTCTCACATGCTGTAGGAACTAAATAAGGTGGTTGTTTCTCAGTACTATTATGCTGAGTATTTGCATTGGAACTGACATTTTGTATAGATTGCAACTGACTAAAATCTGATGGAATTAATAATGCACCCAACATACCTGTGATTGAAACTATAATTGCGCCTTCAGCTGGTACAGAACCGAATTTCTTAACACTTGGTGCAAACCTTATGTGCTGAAACTTTTCTGAGTACAATATCTGATCTTTTTTCTCCTGACTCAGACCGACCTTGCGTCCATTATGAAAAAATGCAGCTTTAATGATGTGTTCTCCAGGAAATTGTACAGTGTATTGCATTGTCCATTCATTTAGAAGATTATTTTTGGAACAATATATATTTACATTGCCAGCAGAATCTGCAACTAATAACAAACTTCCAGGAATATCCCATTCTAGGGCTGTTATGTGATATTTAGAAGAATAAACTTTGTGACTGAACCATGGGGTATTAATATCGCAAACATAGACATGAGATCCCCAAGTTCCAGAGGAATTATCATCTAGTTCTGTTATTGTTGTGAATGCCAAAATATTTCCACTAGATAAACAACACAGAGTTGGATTTTTAGTTATTACATCTGAATTCGACATAAATCCCTTTTTTTGTTTCTTCTGAATATAATAAATCTGCTCCATTTTTATAATTAATAACACAGTAAAGAATAAGCGGATATCTAATCAAAAATAGCTTATAAAAATCTCATAGAATAAAAATTAAATACAACTTCATGTTTATGATAAAACCTTTTGCACTATATATATTTGAAGTAGTATAAAATACATCACACACAGTTAATTTAACTAGATGTTTATTTATTATTTTGACTGCATCACGTTCGCAATAAATGCCACTTTTGCAATGTTTTCAACATGACAGTTTTTATAAAACGTCAACAATGACCAACACCAGAGATAAGATTTATTTTTATGTTGGTATAAAACTTTTAGTATGATATCTAGGTAGGTGTGAGTAATCGAAATTTTAATCTAATATTTTTGTGCAAAGAAATCGAAGCCCTGCCCCCTGCTCCCATGCTTTAAAACCAAATATCCATAAATAAAAATCAAATGCTATATTCGAATCATTTTGAACTCGAATTTTGCCTTAATAAGAGTTGCATGCATTTTACGATTCGAGGATAACTCCCGATAACTCAACTGATTAGACATAATTAGATTATTTCCGAAATTGCCGAAAAAATTGGTCAAAAAATAGTTTGTCATATAACACGTTAGTTACTTATCTATGTTAGTTACGTTCCAAAATACTAGCGTGTTATGCGAATCCGTGTTATACGGGACAAAGAACTAGTACAAAAAGAGGGGTTACGGTCCAAAAATTCAAAAGAACATGCATATCAAGATTTTATAATAGTTATATATATATATATATATATATATATATAAATATATATATTATTTTTTTTAAAGAAGTAATTAAATGGTTAGTGCTATTCAACAAGATTTTTTTTTGCAAAATATTCGTGCATTATTTGTTTCAAAAACAATTAGCTTGTTTTTAGCGAAAAGATATTTATATAATTACCATATGCCATACCATATATTCATTAATATAATTTTGTGTTCATTTTATAAAGAGAATCTTTGTTTAAGACTAATTAACTAATTGTTCGGATTAGTCTAGAATTTTTTTTATAGAACGTACGCGCTCAAATAATAAGTATCAAATTAATTATGTTATGCATTAGTTTCTTCGCATTTTTGCACTATTGTACTGCGCTTTTACTAATTTTATCAACTCTTAAACCGTGTTAGAGCAAATCTGTGTTATAGGAGTACCGTGTTATGCAGGGGTTACCTGGTTACCTGTACATATTAATTGGTCGCGGTTGGCTGTCCGGGTAATCGCGAATCATTTCAAATAATCTGAATTTAATTCAATGGGATTTCACTGGATTTGACATTACGATGTTATAAGAAAACATAGATAAAATTTAAGCCTTTAAGGTGTTTAAACTTTTTATACTTAAGTAACTTAAAAACTTAAGTAACAACATAGTATTTCATTTTTATTAAGCAAAATCATATTTATTTCCTTTTAATTCAATTTATAATTAACAACGCTGACCACGTAATACGGATTCTATTTATAAACTATTCGAAAATGCAAAATTTATGTTTAATCCTAGCTATAGCTTACATTTACTATATAGACACATATACTATTCTTTTATCTATACTTAGACAAATACATTATTTGCATTTAATTTGAAATAATAATATTTTTTAATTGTGCTAATAATACCATGATGTGAATTTAATATGCAATGATATTAAATTATTACTTCAAAAGTTATATTTGCATTAGTGATGGGCGTTGAATCAACGAACGGTTATTTTCAACCGTTTCTTCTTCGTTAACTAACTAACCGTTTCGTCGCAACGAAATAACTAGTTGAAAATCAACTGGTTTCGAAGCAGTTGAAAACATGGCGGCCAGTTAGTTTTTTCAACGATATAGGAATTCGTTCGTTGTCGAAAACGAACGTAGGCAGGTACCTGCGTCGGAAAGGATCAACTAATACTATGAAAATCGCTTATTGTTAGGTTACTGCTTTTATAATATTGCAAATGTACATGTACATCTTAAAAGAAACTTGTAACACGCGCCAAATCGTTTAATTTTAGAAAATCAGTTACATTTATTATAGTTTTCGATGGTTAATATTTTTCATAAAAATCTCATAGCATTTGTCTTGTAATAATTTTTTTAAACTAAACCTGAAAATTGATTTTTTATTTTTCATAACATTTTATATAACTATACATTTTCATATTGCTATTTTTATATAACATGTAAATTCGATGTTTTAGTATATGGCTTTGCTGTAATGAAAATATTTAAGTTTTTTAAATTAAACCTTTATTTATTATATATATATATATATATATATATATATATATATATATATATATGTGTGTGTGTGTGTGTGTGTGTGTAATAAATGTGACAATTCACATTTATTTCTTTTTATTCATCAATTCCAACGTCAACTTGACTTTTATAAGAACAAACTTCATATTACCAACTTTCAATGGAACAGTTATTTCAACTATCAGTTTCTTAACGTTGCCAGCGTTGAATCGTTAAAAATAACTATAGTTGAAAAATAACTAGTTATTTAACTAGTTGACGAAACCCCGATAACCGTTTCGTTTCGTTGACGGCAAAACCGTCAACGACCCACCTCTAATTTGCATGTATCAGAACACTGAAATGTTTTACAATATTGCCATCCGCTCTCTTGTTATTAGTATACAAAGATTAAATAAATTTTTGTCAAAGAGTATTCGTAAATCAAATTTGAGTTATTGAGGTTATGTGTTTTGTTTTATATTCCAATTAACTCAATATGTTTTCAGAAAAATCCTTTGAATTAATTAAGGAATTAGAAAGATGTCCTGATACTATGCCACCTTTCAATGTATGTAGAATATATAATTTGTTCTTACTACAAATAATTTTGTTTATTTAGAAAAATTGTTCTCAAATATCTTAATAGAAATATTTTGTACAATATTGATTGTTGTTTTTTTAAATATTTTCTTACAGTAAAATCCAATCTTATTTAGTTCAGGTTAATAAAAGTTTATAATAATTAGATATTATTGTTACTAAACGATAAATTCTTGCAGGATGATTTAATTCGCCAAGTTTTGAAAGAAATGGCTTTACTCTATGAAGATAATCAAAAAGAGGCGTAAGTTAATTGAATAGAATATCACTTTTCACATTTCAAAATAATGCTGATTGATTGAATTATCTTGTACATATAGGTCTTACTATAAATATTTACAGAGTTCCGAATATATTTTAATATTTATTTTATTTCAAATCTAGATTATTTTTACGGACACACAAAATGCCCAATGTCAATGTCGATGTTCATATTTCTTCAGCACTTCTAAAATAACCAAAATAATTTAAGTTATCTTGAATGCAATCATGTATGTAATTCATGATTATCTTTATAATTAAAGCAATACTACATCATTAACTGGTTGGTCGGCAATTCTCATCAGACATACATCTCTGGAAAGAAATAAACGTTGCTTGTTAGCCTATTTATATAATAGACTTCGCAGAATTAGAACAATGAGATGGGAATTTGGTCCAATTCTCCCACAAGATGTGAAAGCCAATTTATGTGAACCTGAAATCCAGTGGTTTAATAATTATTCTAAGTCATTGGCTACATATATGAGATCTATAGGTGATGGCATAGGGCTCAATATAATGCAAGATCTGAAGCCCCCAAAAACACTTTACATAGAAGTACGCTGCCTAGTCGACTATGGAAAGTTTGAATTAGAAGATGGAGAAGTAATATTCCTAAGAAAAAATAGTCAACATTTTTTGCCAAGAGCACAATGTGAATCTCTAATACAACAAGGAATTCTTCAACATATAATTTTGTGACTAATTATTAATATTTATTTATATAATTTATTGATTAGGTATTGGTTAAGTTTTTATAAGTAAAAAATGTAGATGATAATGAGTTCTTACTAAGTAAATTTTCTGTTCGATGTTTTGTATATTTTGAGAATGTTTACATAGTAATTTTTATAAATACATGCATATTGTTATTTACGTAGTTTTAATATAAAGAAAAGAATAATTTATAATTCAAGTTAATTAAATGGCGCTTTGAAAATGAAATTTAATTCATTAACAATTGAATAAAAATTTGATTTATTTACTTATTCATAACAAAACAATAGAATACTATTATATGAAAATTTATTTACATTCATACAATAGATTCACTATTTTAATCATTGAGTAGTTAATGTACTTGAATGAGTGTCTGCATAATTATCATTATCATACATATCATAGCACATCTATTTAAATTTTTTTTAGTATTTAAATTTGTGTTTATATATAATGATATCAATCGACCTGTTACGGAGAAGATAATCATGGTACAAGATCAGTTCTATCTCAAATCAAATTACTATTAAGTAGTAGCAAAATTTTAATTAAAAATTACAAATTTAACATTGTAAATATTAAAAGCAACAATTAACAAACAAAAATTCATGAGCATATAAGAATGTATTATTATTCTGAATCTGAATTATTATACATAATGGGCTTTTTTCTGCTGGCTGTGCTAGTTTTAAATACTGTCGAAATTGTGGGTTGTTGTTGACTAGAAAGTATGGATTTTGTAGCACCTCTACCTCTTGAACCTCTGCCTCTTCCTCTTGCAGTTGTTGATGCTGATGAAGTTGAAGTATTTACTGATATATTTAATTGTCCTTTAGATGCAGCCGAAGATCTGGAAGTCGCCATCATTTTACCACCTCTTGAACCTCTACCTCTAGCAGGTAAAGTTGATTTATCTGCAGTATCATTATTATCATCTCTTTCTTCATCACTCGATGCCATAATATCAGCACTTCTTTTAGGTGTCTGACTAATTTTTAACCTTTTCTTTAACATAACTAAAGCTTCTTCCTCAGTTTGTTTTATGTTTGCAGAAAATGATCGAATACTATCTTCAATTTCTTCCTCTGGGGGGTAAGTCTTTTTCAAATGATTCATCAAAGCATTTTCTTGATGTTGTATAAGTTCGTGTATAGCATAATCATCATCTTTATCAATTAATTGAGCAACAGCTTCACCCATGGCTTTGATAGACATACCAATTACTTCTTTATTATCTCCCATTTCTAAATAATATCTTTCCACTATATCTTCTACACGTGTTTGCGTGTTCTGTAATTCAGCATATGCTGCCTCTTCAAAAATATTTCTATCTAAGTCAGTTTTCAATAAGTTTTCATGCTTTGCTTTGAATTTTTTCAAAATTACCATATCAGTAGGATTAGCAACTTGTTCCATAAACTGTTGACCGAAACGTATTGTGTTAAAAACTTGCCGCTCATCAAAATATGTCACACGCAATCTAATCAAAGGCAAAGTTGGTTGCTTGGGATGACCTGACAATTGTAATTTAGAATCTTCAATTAAGTATTCTATTTTTGATTTAATGTATTCTTGTACATTTTGTTGTGCTTCAGGTCCTTTCAGATCTATCTCATCTTCTAAATCTTGTAAGTTAATATCACAGAATACAAATGGCCGTACAGTTTTTAATACTAAGGGTTCAATTTTGAATTCCTTTTTATGAATTCTCAATATAGCCACTTTCTTTTGTATAGATTCACCTTGTGCTAAGGAAGTTGCAACAGAACTACCTGGTTGAGTTACATAAAAAGAACGCAATGTGTTAAATTCAGGTTCAATTCTACATTCATGCTCATGACCCCATACTATTAAATCTAAAAACTCTGGCAAGACTTCTTCAGGTACATATTTTTTTAAACCTCTGTTTGCTCTATTCTGATGTATTGATAGTATATTAAAATATTCCTCTGTATCATCATCTGCCACCATAGTTACAGCTTGATCAGCAAATAACCTAGCCAATCTTTCATCTTTGATGTGACTAAGGCCATATAAAGCAACTTTTGTTTCACCTTTACGCATTATTAAAGGCTCTATAGAAACTTTGGTTAAAGATGGAGATTTGCCAAAATAATTCACAAGACCATTGCATGATAATAAATCTAAGGAACTAACATGCTTATACCCAGTTGGATCGTCATGGTTGCCATGAATTGAAAAAACAGGTATGGAAACATTAATGTTAGGGTCTTCGTAATTTACTTTATTTATTATAGATTCATGGAACTCATTTTCACTTAGAAATTGTACACTTATGGGTTTGTCTCCAAAAGTATATTTTCTTAATAATTTCATGCATTGTAACAAACAATGAGAACTTGGTCTGGCATCATGAAACAAATCGCCGCTTAGTAAAATCAAATCGACATCATGTTCTAAAGCCAACTGAAGAATTTCTTCAAATGCCACAAAGCTATCATTGCCTAAAAGTAATATAAACATTTCATATGTGATTCATCATTTTACTATACATTGTTATATGTGTATCACCTCGATGGGAATCTTTTTCATTATAACCCAAATGATTGTCAGTAGCTAGCATTATATTTAGAATATTTTCAGAACGAGCACTTAAAGTTTCGTTGGCCATTCTGAATATGCTTTAAAATATTGTATTAAAAAATCTATTACCATATAAAAATATTAGCATTTAATTATAATAAAACCCGCTGAAGTTTACATCCATACATTAGCATATTATTTTCCAGCATACACTTTTGTGGCAGTGGCTTATCGTAGTTGCGTGACCAAAACATAAAGCTTAACTATCCAGTACTAATTAAAGTATCATAAAATGTTATATTAAATCGGATTTATTTTACAGTTTTTGCAATTTTGACATTCATACCGTTAACCGATACTAAAGTGTTTATCTATGGTGTACATATGGTGTACATACACATTGTTATGCAGTGATACCAACGCACACGATTATTTTCGTTAAGCGTTAAGACGTTAGGTCGTATGCTTACTTATCTATGGTCGTTTGGTCGTTAAGGTCTCTCTATAGTTGTATCCATTTATGTTTATTTATCTATGATTGCATCGAACTATTTCAAAAGGGATTTGAACGGTGTAAAATGGGTGTAAATATCGTGAAACAATGTAAAATTTATATTGTAAATGCTGAAAAGCAGAAAAAAGTGAAAAAATGAACAGGGTCTTCTCTTAATAGATTTACAAAGTGGAAATATTATTTCTAGACTTGCAACGAATAGTATATTCGGCAAAATACCCAATACCGAATATTTGGCATATTTCAGAGACCGAATACCGAATATTCGGCAACTATTCGGCAAATTCTTAGCGTCTAAACTCGTTCTAAACTTCTATTTGCAGTTGTTTAATTACTAAACTCACTACATGTTTATTTAAGATTTATACCTAGACGTGCAACGACTATTCGATTACTCTTTCTTTATTTGAAAAATTTATCACCATTTATACTATTCGGCCGAATACCTTTAAATAACATGTCATGACTTGCAAACGATGACAGCGATACAAAAAAAGCGATTTTTTACGATTGTTTTCCAATTATTTCTTTAACAAACATTTAATATTTTCATTTATAAACACAATATCATTACTTATGTATTACAAAAGATAATTATAATAAAATGAATAAAAACTGACTAAAAATATCGCCTGCATTTTTTGCGTCAAAGAGCCTATGATATCTCTTTATTTAGACATGCTTAGATTGAATATAATGAATGACTTTATTAAATATATTTACAACACATGCTTGTAATCGTTGAATGATAACAAACATATGTGCATTTAACAATAACGTATCCTTGGTATATTCAGAAAAGAGTTCTTCGCGTGTATATTTTTAATCTTAAAGTTCTAATTAATATATACAATGACGAAATCATTTCTTCATGTCATTTTATGTAAACCAAAGACTTCCAAATGCAGATCCATCGCAAGCTCTTTATGACATTAAAGATAAAACTCAAACAATATTAGTGCTGGGCGGCACGAATACCAAAAAAGGTGCCAAATATGCCGAACTCCAAAATAGTAACTGAATATTCGGTGCAAATTAAAAACTCTTATACGCCCTACATCTCAATATGTTTCATGTTAAATATTACTACAGTAGCTGTAATTAACTTAATCTTTACGCTTTTTTAAATAATTCACTAATATGTCGTTTGTCGAAGATTGATCTTAAATTGAATTTTTAACTAATCCAATATTTTTGGTCTTAGATTTTTTAATTCATTCGATATTTTAATTAATTTTTATTTTTTAATAATCAAACAATTATTAGCCAATATACCGCATTTTTTGACCTATGATCGAACTATTCTCAACCCATAAGCGTTAGTTTTTGACCTATAATCAAACTACTCTCAACCCATATGCTCCGGAATATGACCTTTGATCGATCAATTCTTAACCCATTTGCCTCAGTTTTTCACCTACAATCGACCTATTTTCAACGCATATGCCAAATTTTGACCTACAATCGAACTATCCTCGACCCATAGTTGACCCGGCGAAGGATCAGGGCTGAGACGTTGTGCACATTATGGTGCGAAGATTGACCAAAATACAGGTATGTGGGATGATGCGAGGTTCACCGATCGAGCTCAGGAGTCCTACCCCAGGTCGCACCTGACTCGCACTTGTGCTGTGTGTGAAGTGAGAGATATTAAATTAAATAGTATCAAGAAATAAACCCAACTATGTGGTTTTTACAGTTGACATATTTTTTTACTAAACGATTTCACAACATCAAAATAAAAAAAAAACTTAATAATATGCCGTATGAAGAGACATTCTTGGATCAATTTATTTTTATATAATACAAATTCATAAAAGGTTCAGGTTAATAAGTATCATAAAAATGTAAGAAATATATACGTATATATTACACATACATATGATGATCTAATGTTCTTCAATCTTGCATCTAACGTGATCCTTCTGTACAGTCTGATGATAGTCATAAAGAATCTACGGAAATTCCACTCAACTCGGGTCTTTATACTATTCAAAAGCATAGCATCATGTTATACTGGGTAAAAACCCAATAATCGTTCCAATATTCGTTTTATTCAAACAGGAAACTTTCAAAATGTTTTAAATATTTGAGGAAATACGTGAATGATTAAGAAAATGCGCAATCACGACAATTGTTTCAGCAGGAATTCTTTATACTGAATACATATCTTCAACAATTTAATAACCAAAAAAAAAAAATTAAACAAATTTTAGATGAATTAAAAATGCTTTTTTTATTCTTTTTATGGGTACCAAACTATTTACCTACGTTTAAAAGTTTTAAAAAAACTAAGAACTTCAACATTGTTCTTTGGTAAAATTATCTAAAACTTATCGCAAATTTAAATTTTGTTAAAACTCTTGAAACTTTAGGAGTTTTGAGAAGTTCTGAAACACGATCAATATCCAAAAAATCTCATCACAAAGTCCTAGGTTCAATAAACTGACTTCAAGCAATAGTGATCTACAATTTCAATTGATTAAAATATTTTCCAAGTGAAAATAGCCTTTCCAAGCATTGGTATACTCGGTTAAAAATATGTCAGTACTGTTATATTAATTCCAATTAGAAAAAATATCAAATACAAATAAAACGAATATTGACTTTCTGACATAAATCAACCCATATGCCAAATTTTGATCTATGATCAAACTATTTTCATCGTGCGTGCCGAATTTTGACCTCTAGCCGAACTATTCTCGATCTAAACTATGCCCGCCAGGGTGACCCAAGGAACCCCAGGTCACCCCTGACTCGCATTTGTGTCGTATGGGTAAGAAATGTCAAAGTATCATCACAATAACTCATGAAATTTTTAGGTTCTATTTGTTGTTCTCAAAAAAATATAAAAAAATTGTCTATATTATTTGAATAGAGAAGCGAAATTCAAGCAATAGTGCTCCTGAATAACTAAAAATATGAAGTTGTTTAACAGTTTAGGTTTTAAATTTATTTGATAGATTAAATGGAAGACACAACCGTGTGCAAAACCAATAATAATTCAAAAGATGCACCGTTTGAAAAACTTATTTTCAGAACCGCCAGCGAGGTAGATTATGGTAAATTGGGATACTGGTAAAAAAGAATAATCTGCATTTCATTTGAATCTACAATTAGTGTAATAAATGGCCACAGGATCAATTTGAGACTCTTGACATGCTATTAACTTTCGGTGCTGAGTATCATATGAGCTCAAATAGTCTATTGTATTTGTTAATCTATTCTAAAGTTCAATGATTGATTCAACCGTTTTAAACCATATTTTAAATTCAAGAAGATTGATGAAAAAGTACATGTCGGAATTTGGATCGAACGTTTTTTATTAGATTGATAAATTTGTGGCCGATAGCTTATTTGATTGACAATAAAGTTCGTCTTGGGAAGCAATCTTCCCCATGAGAATAGACAATATTAGAAAATAATGCTTTTAAATATATTAAAGTATTAACTTTCTCAATTATAATCTTATTGTTTTGCTTAATATTATTGGTTTATATTTCTTTCGAAATTATAGATTTATTTAATATTTTTCAATCCTATGGGCATATTACAGTCTTTTTTTTCTTGAAGGCATTTAATAATTGTTTTGTTAGTTTTTATATATGGCTATTAGAAGGCAACACAACAGAATGGTTGCTTTTTCTTTTTGTAATTATATTTCTCATATACTACAAATTGTTAATATTGACCTTACTTAAAATTAAAATGCTAGGAGAGGCTGTTTTTACTTGAAAACATATGTTGGATTTATATTTGCAAGGAAATCTGGATAACAGGTTGCACGCAACATGAACCGTAAACCTTGTGGTTGCAAAGCTAAAAGCTCTATTAAGCTCTACTAAGCTGCACCACGATACCCAGTTTATTATGATGAAAATTAATTATCAATAACAATAACGAAATTCAAATAGCGTTCAGATAGTAAAATAGCTGAGAGCAAATTTGTAACATTTGTAAGTAATGTTGTAAAATTTAAAAAAATGTTCTCATACAAAATAGTTTAAACCAAATATTTAATGTTATCTACAAACATTAAATATTTTAGCCATTAGATCATATGTGACATGGGAAACAATTTGTTTGTAGGAGCTCCTACGCCGAGTTTCATGTATTTTTTTAATACAATGTATTCAGGTCGAGTCGGCATTTTGGGTTTTTCCGTCGGAGTCAAGGCACGGCTTTGTTTCATCTGTCCATAAAAAATCGTATACTATTTTTTTGTGCGCTGTTCATTTTATTGTGCAAATTATTCCGGAGTTTTTTATTTTGGCGACGCCGCCTCTTTGAACTGTGTTGACCGAAAGTGTAAAGAGTTGAAAATTATAAATTATGACTAGCAACATGAGTAGGCACAAGGCTTTGTTCGAAATAATGAGCAACGCATAAAAATAATTAAGACATTGT